GCTTGGCCTTGGGAAAGAACTGCTTTATTGGACTTACTTGCTTATGTTTCTCTCTAGAACTGGAAGCAACCCCAAAATTAGACGAAACAAGATCTGGGGAGGTCAGAATGGTGGTATTCTTGTTTATAATTCTGGTAGGTCTGCTTTTCTCATTTATCCAGAATTATTTGTTTTGAATGTTATTACTTCCTGCTTATTACCCTTCCAATTTTTTTTTCCTGCCCTCCCCCTCCCCACCCCTTAATTTTAGGGCTTGGATTTATAGAAGACAATGAGATTTTTGATAATGCAATGGCTGGTGTATGGATTAAAACAGACAGTAATCCCACGCTAAGAAGAAACAAAATCCACGATGGAAGAGATGGTGGCATCTGTATTTTTAATGGAGGAAGAGGTATTTCTTTCTCTTACTAGTGTGTACTAAATACTCTGGATAAGAGTTTAACTTCAGATTAAGCTGTGTCCTTTTTAAAGTGCTCTTTAGAAATCTTGCTCTTCTGAAGTAATAAAATAGTTATTATGAATGTACATTAATGCTGTTTAGCCTCAGTACATCAGTAATACTGAACTCTGTGGGACACAGAGATAATTAATCTCATCCAAGAAGACTCTTGGATTGCTGCTTAGGACAGACCTTTTATCTCGGCTGCTTTTGTAAGCTTTGCCATTTGAATGAAGGACAAATATTTAATTCAAGTCATTCAAGTCAAATCTTGCATCTGAATATTTCAGGTTTTGCTGGTGTCAAGAGATTTAAGAAAAGACCCAGATTTTTAAGGGTTCTTTCGCATAGCTATAAATTTCAAAAGGGTCCTCTTCTGAAATCCCCTGATCATTGTATATCCTGGTAGCAGCTGCTCATTCTCAGTAGTTAGTCAGTTGCTGTGAAACAAATTAGGAAAGTCAAAAACTTGCTTTTTCCTGAAATATAAAATGGGGTTAAAGGGGTCATTTGTGGGTTTGCTGTAAGAGCATGTGTATTCCCAAATTACATTACACATAATGAAAAAATAACCCTTAAGTGATTTTTACACAATGACTTTATACTTGTATTGCTGGTAACTTCAGTGCTGTTGATGAGAGAAGCAGCAGGATCTTAGTGAAATGTTTCTTAGAATGGATAGGGAGATGTTAACAAGCTGAAATGTGCTATATTGATTCTCCTAGGCCTTCTGGAAGAGAATGACATCTTCAGGAACGCTCAGGCTGGTGTTCTCATCAGCACCAACAGCCACCCTGTGCTAAGGAAAAATAGAATATTTGATGGGTTTGCTGCAGGTTTGTACTGTTTACGTGAAATTTTGAAGTGTTAGAGCTTAGAGAAAGCCTGCCGCGTAACTTAACTCTGATTTTCTTTGTCCCACAGTATTTAGAAATTCTTAAAACAGAGATTGAGAAGTTTTTTTTAAGGTCTTCTGGAACTTATTTGAGAATTCAGAATTGTAGCCAGAATATCTTTGTGGAAAAAAATTGGAATTACTATCCTGTTGAGAAACAGCACATATTCTGCCTTTGCTTTTTTTTTCTGTGAAGTACTTTTCATAATTTCATTTTAGAAGTAATTTGAAAAAATTGTCTAGTTGATCTGCTGGATGCTGGTTTGAAATTTCTGTCACTGATCCTATTTGAAAACCAAGGCAGTGTAGCACAATATACATTTTAATGACATTTTAGTTGCATCTCAAATTTAACTGTCTCCCAAACATGAAAAATTATTGTAATGAGCATTTCTGTTGACTCCAAAAGAGATGAAAAACAAAATAGTAGTGATTTTTGTGCAATTTATAGTTTAATAATCACACTTTCCTAAGTCTTGCATTCCATTTCAATTGAAACTGCATTCTTGAGTTTTCTCCCATCTTTCTTTCAGAAGAAGCAAGTTTTCTGAGAAGAGCCTCTAAAGGTGTAGTTTATGTGTGGAGGGGGGGAAGGGAATAGGTTGCTGTCAAGAGCAGCCCTGGAGAAATGACTTGGAAGATACTGGTTAATAATAAAAAGCTGAAATGTAAATAAATTGTTAAGTGTCTATCTCAAACTTCTTTCAAAAGATCTTTAGAAGAGGGTAAAGTATGTGCAGAAGAACTTCCAAATATAGATGGAGAGGTTAAACACTCAAAAACTACATCCCTCTAGAAAATCGAAATACTGTTTTATCAAAAAACTACGTTATCAGACACATTTATAGTTTGTTACTACCAGACACTGTGCATGCCAGCTGTAGCTTTTTGAGAGGATTCAGTGCAAGTATTTTAATTGCACTTTTGTAGCAGATTATGATGCAATTTCTAGCTATGTTATTCTACATTTTCCCGAGTAGTTTAAAAAAAAAAAAAAAAAAAGGCTTAAAACTAATGAGAACTATAGATGCCCAATCAATGAGGATTTATTTTTTTCTGTTCTCTTTTCTTTTTCATATTTCTCTGGCCAAAAAGGTATTGAAATAACAAATCATGCAACTGCAACATTAGAGGGCAATCAGATTTTTAACAACCGATTTGGAGGTTTATTTCTAGCATCTGGGGTCAATGTAACAATGAAAGGTGAGTATAAGTTCTGCTTGTGGGTCGGGTACACTGTGCATTTTTTTTGGTGGTGATTTCAGTGGTATAAAGTTCATCGTTCCCATCTACATCTTCCCTTCCCCTATCCCCTCTATTTTTGGATCAGTTATGATAATTTTAATGCCGCTTAAAAAGTTAAGGGCTTTGACTAAAGGGAACAAGGCAAACTGATATTTCAGTTTTCTAGACTAATAGCCAGAAGCTTTCAAAGGTAACTGAAGGTTTTCTTGCCATTCTGAACTTCCTTTATTAGCTCTGCAGTATTGCAGTCATTCGCAGCTCTAGCTTGAGTTGTGTTGGAAGATGCCTTCCTTTAAAAGGGCGAGGCGCTGAGCTTGTCTCCTCAGAGGGGCCTGTAAAGCTTCCCGTGGGCCAGCACCTGCAGCCCCACGGCTTTCAACTGTTTTATTTTCAGACTTTTTTCCAAAACTTAAGCCTGACAGGAGGGTTTGGTTTTAATAACCATCTCTTGCCAGTTCACCAAGAGTATTTAAATGAAAGAGGGCTCTGGTTTATCACATATTTTCATCCAGAATTTGATAAACTAGAATTCTGGCATATAACAATGTTGTTAATGGTTCTAATAAATACCTAAATAATAAATACCTAAATAATTCTTATTAAGTGCTGTGGGTTTTTATTCCTCCACTAGATAACAAAATAATGAACAATCAAGATGCCATAGAAAAGGCTGTCAGTAGAGGCCAGTGTCTGTACAAGATCTCAAGCTACACCAGCTACCCGATGCATGATTTCTACAGGTAACAAACTCTCTTGCTACTTGACGAGATCTGCTGTTGGTTGAGCCTGTGCAAATACCTTCTGTAATATCCTTGCCCCCTCCGGACAAGCCCCTTTCCCAGCTTCTGTTTGACTCATGCCTAACGCGCTGCATTTTGCTGCAGATGTCACACCTGCAATACCACAGACCGCAACGCCATATGTGTGAACTGCATTAAGAAGTGCCATCAAGGACATGATGTAGAATTCATTAGACACGATAGGTATGTTCCCAAGGAAGGGGTCGGGCAGCTTAAGCAAAGCACTCCGAGCAGGAGAACTAAGTGCTCTCTTTCCTTATAGGTTTTTCTGTGACTGCGGTGCTGGAACACTGTCTAATCCCTGTACGCTTGCTGGAGAGCCTACACATGATACAGATACACTATATGACTCTGCTCCACCTATAGAATCTAATACATTGCAGCACAACTGAATTCCTTTCAGAAAGAAAGTCCTGCCATTCTAATATCATAACTGTTAAAACTTTTTTTTTGGAGGAAGTTATACTTGCCCATTTCTGCAGAAAGAGACTGTATTAAAGTGGATATGTGAGGTGTTGACACTATGGAGCTCAACCTACCAAAAAAGAAAGTGGCAATATGTTGACTCAGGATAACAGAACTGGGCGTTTTAGCATTACTGTGTAAACAAAGACTTTGAAGGGACAGAAGTGAAGAAAAATAAGCTGCAATTTTGTACAGATACCAACTTCTGAAAGCTGGTGTTTTTACAAGTAGCATTGAAACGCAGTCCAATTTGCAGTAGTACTATTCTGTAGACAAGCAGCATTCTTTGTTGCTGCCTTTATGGACATGGGTACCAATTGCTTTTGTAACATGGTAAAAAATGTGAGCTAGCACTTCTGCATTTCTTTTGATTTTTTAACATTTATTCAGATTGAGAAATATGATTTTGCTTTAATCTCATGTAGTTTGTTTCTAATTTCAAGCAAAAAAAATCTTATTGTACTTGAATGTGTCCTGTTTTGTTAGCACACCTAGACTTGCTGTAACTGTACTCATGTCCCAGTATGTACGTTCTTTCTATGAAAGAGAAAACACTAATCTTAAATTATATCCAGCAATGTTTCTGGTGTCCTCTGAAGTTAGAATAATCTCCTTCCCTTCCCCAGCAATAGTCTGTACTCAAACCACCCTAACAAAAAAAGCGAGTGTTTTAATGAGACTTCCTAGACTATAATGCACTATAAAACAAAGTACCCATGTAACTAAGTTTTGTGAATGAAATTTTACTATGTTTTAAAGTACACAGTAGAAAGTCTCCTCAAAACAGTCTTGTATTTTACTGTTCATAGTTTTTTTTTGAACAGCCTGGACATTACTTAACCTGCTGGAAATCACAGCAATTTCCTGCTCTAATGAAGCTGAGACAAGTATATATACAGCCCTATACAGTTTCATAGCTTTTTTTCCATTTATGTGTATTGGTGACAGTGGGTAATCAACAGCCTGAAAGTGTATGCATGTACCATAACATCTAGACTTAATATATTGTGGAGTACTCAATAACCATTATGTAGAGGGTAGGTAAGAATTAAAAGGGTTTAATTTCCTAGGAAAGACAATGGAAAAATGGTCATTTTTAAAAAATAAAGTTTATTAGATCATAATGTTGTCTCATACCACCTTTTTGAGAAACTGCCCCTACGGCTACAGCGTGTTCCTAGAGGTGACTGATCAGAGTGGTAAGTTTCTGAAGGGCCCTTGTGTCACTTGTTGCATCATCCACCACCAAGCAGAGATACCTATGGCAAAAAAAGGAATCAACTTTACCAAAACAGAGGAGCCCAGGGTGAATCTCCCCCTAACTCCAAGACTTTAGAATTATACATGTTACTCTGTGTACATCTTCAAGGTGGCTGCTGTCAGTCTCTAGTGCCTGTGCTTAGCCCAAATTCAGTGCAGCACCTAGGGCAAGTTACACCACATCCCAGTCTGACCTCCCTGGCCTGTGAAGGACTCTTGATATGCACAGCAGGAGCTTCTCCCTTCCTCCCCCCTGAAACTTGCCTCCTAAGCAAAAGTCCCTGCCCCTCTTTTAAAAAGGGCTGCCTGTAATGAAATGAAAACGAAAACCTTACCTAAATATTCTCAGCGAAATTGTTGTTTTTTCGAACTCTTTTGCTTTTCTGTGCCCCTTCTGAACAACCTCCTCTGGAATATTAGCAAGTCTTGCTGCATTGAAGCCATAGCTTTTGGGACATACTCCTTCAATGAATTTGTACAGGAATGTAATTGTTTCCTGGCTTGGATCTTCTTCACTCTCATTTTCAACCATACATGCCTAGAAAGCAAGTTACCACAAGTTAGTATGTTTGGCTATAGAACACCTGATGTACCATACCTTCTCATGCTTTTTTGTGACTATAGGCAGAAGACTAGAGAAAACATGTACATCCTGCTAGTTCTGAGGGGGGAAAAGCATGGCCTTGGTGCTCTCGCTACACTCCCTGCAGCTTATACCTACCATGTGTCCAAGGCGCACGGCAGCACAGTGTGAATGATCCTCTACCAGCGAGTGGTAGTGGGTGGAGAACAGAGTTCGACACTTGATTTTCTCTGCAAGCTCTTTAACAACTGCACTTGCTATAGCTGTTCCATCAAAAGTAGCTGTGCCTCGACCTGGAGGAGAAATTTGAAAAGCTTTATCATACTCATGAATTGAATTTATTTTGGTAACACTTAAGTCCTTATTTTACTTATTACTGTTGGGAGGGTCTCTGCAAGTGCAAAGATTAATACACAGGCAAAGAAATGATTTTCTGAAGACAGCTGCCAAATGCAATTCATTGCTTCCCCTGTATCGATTCATTTTGTTTGTTAGTCTTCCACACAGTGAGGCAGAAGAAAAAGAGCAATGATGGTTAAGAGCTGACAGCATCTATCTGTGTGAAGTGACTGAACACTGTCCCACAACAATCATGATCTCTTCCACACTGCCCAAAACAAACATTTCTGCTCCCCTGAGGCTGGCTACGGGCTTGGTCAAGGTCTGCTGCAAGTGATCATGCATTGATTATGATGCACTAGGACACTGGGAAAAACCAAGCTAGGAGTAGTCTAATAGTGATTGCCAGGGTGTGCTGGGTTCCTGGGATGACTAACAAGCACAGCCTTTAGGAGGACAGTTATATTATACTATACAACTAGTTAGCACCATGATCCAACAACCTCTATTTGTAAAAACCTGGCAGCTAGTCTTTAATCTTAGATTTACTTTCAGTCTATTACAGAACAGGCTAATTACCTAGTTCATCCACAAGAACAAGGGAATGCTCTGTTGCATGCTGGAGTATACTGGAAGTCTCGCTCAACTCAACAAAGAAGGTACTTTCACCTTAAAGACAGAAGCAAAGTAGTCAAAAATCTCTGAAAACACAGCCAAAAAAAAAAAAAAAAGATTTAATCTATACTGGAGTTGGCATGAAAAAATGGGTCTGTATTTGGCAGAAAAAGGATAGTGCGGTTCCTAAGGAACACAGGCAGTATAGTTGGGTAAGTAAGAGCAGACAAATAGAGCAGTGTAAAAGCTGATAGTGCTGGTCAGAGGTACCAGCTGGGCAAAAAGAAGGGGTGCAGAGGAAAGGGGACAGAGGGGAATCTCCTGCCTCTTCGCAGTTGTACACACAAGCCAAAGGTGGGTGCAAATTTTCTTAAGTGAAAAATCAAGCAGAAGCCCTTAAAATGACTAAGAAACTAGACCTAATTAGAGGACATTAAAAACCAAACCAGTTAAAGAGATTTGCTCAGACAGGTTAAAGGCTAAATTCAAACATACCTTTCTGGAGTGAGGTCTACAAAAATTACAGCTCTGCTGTTAAAAGCTGAACAACTGAAGGAAGTTCCAGCAATCTAGACAACGCTGCTAAGCTTGATATTCTTTTTAGCATACTGGAAGTATATTTTTAGCATTTTGAAAGTAGACACAGAAAAAGTTAGACTCTTGTATGCTGTAAACCCAAGGCTACAAAGTGGAGATTTACCTATTTAACTGAAATAATCTAATTCAACAGCATGTCCAAGATGGCATGTGTCCTGCCAGGACTCATTGAGTTAAAATTCTAGCTCTAACCCACATAGTTGTGCTACACCATAACCTCTTCATGTGCGTTACTGAAGGGTGTCTAGCAAACCTGACTTAACATGTAGGGACTCTAGAGGGGAGGCTCAACGGGGCAGGTTTTGAGAAGTATCCACATCAGCCCTGCTGGAAAGCGAGATTTTTTTTTTTCCACCTCTTCCTTGGAGCCTACTGGCACACAGAGATTCTGACACTATCTCAAGGACAGTCATTTAAAGATGAATAAACATCTCACAGAGGAAAGAAAGCAAACACCTACTGGGATATGCAGCCACTACTATTTACTGAAAGTACTTCTTTCCAAATTCCTTATGTGTAGCACCTTCAGTACACTTAATCTTTCCATATTCACTGACCCACATGATTCCATATGAAGATCCCAGAAAATTTATGCCTTCTTTAAATGAGTTATGATACAATTTTTAGTAACATAAAAATACTCATTTCTTCCAGCCCCAAGAAATACCCCCCAAAATCATCACCACAAGCAGCCTTTCCCAGTCCAGTTGCTGTATCATTCTCCACTTCTATCACCCTCCTTGTGGGAGGAATGAAAAGTTCCAAGAAGCCACCACTACTCATGCTGACAGAGGCCTCTGCCTTTCTCCTCATTGGAAGAAACAAGACTTCAGCCTTGGGGAAGGCATTCTGATACAAACTAAGGACATTCTGGCCTAGGCAGAAAGTAGGAAAACATCTCCTCTCAAATGGAGACCTGAACAACACTTTTCTATTCCAGAAAATTAAAGATGCTTCCGTAAGTATAACACTAATCAATTATACAACATCCAAGGAGACACTGCTCAGATTTGTATCTAATTGTAAGGCTGTAGTATTGAGGTCACTAAAAACTGATCCAAGCTGTCTGTAAAAATGATTCAAGAGAAGCATATTAAACAGATAAGCCTAATTACAGTCCTGCTTCTGCTCCACAGACCACAATTCTCCAATAGGAGATAGAAGAAGAAGGACTTGCACAGCTCTTAATAGTAATACAAGACTAAAGACTGTCCCTTTGCAACTGGCCACTCAAAGCACTAAGGAAGCATGCAAAAGGCACAGAGAGAAAAAAACCCACTCACTTGGTTGTAAAAGCACCTCAGACAGATTTCAGACACTCACCTGACATAATTCTGTCTGAGGCACCCAGCCTTGTGAATACTCTGTCGATAGGTGTAAGTCTGCAGCCCTCAGCAGGTATGTAGCATCCCAGCTGGGCCATTATGGCCAAGAGACCAGCCTGAAACGCAAACATACAACACAGTTTCATTATGTGGAGTGTCGGTTCCACACAGAACAGCAGAATTAAACTCAATCTTCCCCAAAAAAAGGCTAGAATACCTAAAACTTCCTACGGTTTTAACAGTTCCAAGTTACAGCACCATCTCAGGTAGAATTAAACCGCTCTGAAAACCTCCAAAACACAAGTAACCGCAGCAAGTGTTGTTTATAAAGCGATGTTTTCTAGGTAGCCCCTAACTTTTCATGTTGTTCAAGCTGCAGAAGCATCTTCTGGGAGCTGGGCCCAAATTCCAGGGAAAGACCACTCAAGAAAGATAAAAGCTGCTCTATCACATTTTCCAACTATCTCTCAATAAAACTCACTCCTTGCTAAATTAAGTGTAAACAGAACATCTACTATCTAAATGTATAGGGCATTTTCTACCAGGCTGTATTTTTTCTTTATAGCATAATTGCCATACTGTTCTGAATGCCTTGAATGCCACTGTTGGGTCCTCCTTTGAAGTTACAACAGTGAGACATTTAATTTCCTCACACGCTCTACTCGGGTACTCTAGTATACAACACCCTACGTAGCAAGTCAATCACCTGTCTCATGAGCGTAGATTTGCCACCCATGTTTGGGCCAGTCACTAACACGCAGGAAGCTTCACTACTGCTGTGCTCATCTTTGCAGCCTATCACGATGTCATTAGGAATAAAATCATCTCCAAAATAAGTCTTTGTAATGCATGGATGGCGTGAACTCTTAAGTTCCAGGAATGGAGGAGAACTATCCACAGGCAGCAGAATTACAGGTCGGCACAGGGGTCCATCACCACCTTGACTATAGTTTGCAAGGGACATCAAGACATCTGTAAAATTAAAGGAAGTTCTAGTTAATTCATGTTTTACTTTTCTTTCTTTATTCACCACTGTATTTACTCATTAATAACATTTTGGGGATCACAGTTTTTAATCTTCCTAAAATCAATACCCTGAAGTACACCAAGTAAACTGAAGACATTCATCACTTAGCTGTCCTCATTTCTTCAAGATTTCTACTGATGTCATATTAAAAATAATCCCTTCTGTAATTGTTTCAGTTAGAAGGCTAACACTCTTTTTTATGCACTTGTGTAAATGCTATTTTTCCTTGTGTTGTTTTTTGATTTGGTGACAAAGAGATGAGGAATCTGCTTCCATGACAGCCAATTAGTTTAAGAACTATGATATTGGTGGAAAGTTGCCAGAAAAGATTTGTGTAAGTAGTAAAACATTCTGTTGTCTTAGCAGAAGGCAAAGACAAAAATCCCAATCAGCACAGTTCTGAGGTTCTAAAAACTGGAGAAAAATAGCCAGTACCCACAAAACAAGACCATTCAGACCATTTCAATGACTTGAAGCATTGCACTAACTATGGTATTGAAACAGGTCTGAACCTTCAATCTCCACTGACTTTAATTATTTGCCCTGACGCTACAGTATAGAGTCAGGGCAAATCTGATTCTCTAATCCGATTTTCTTCCCAACTCTCACAAACCCACTCGGAGAGCAAGCTCCCAGCGCTCACCGTCTGTGTGTCCTCCCTTTTCTGCTATGCTGGGATTTAGAGAGTTCTTACGCTTCCCTCGGCAAAGGCAGGGACATCCCACAGGGCCTCATGCTAGCAGAAAATTCACGGTACAATAAAGCATCAGTTTAGAAAATATGTAAAGGCTACACAGCGGACTTCTTCCCCCAAAACTTAAAGAAGATTTGGGGAAGTTAACCTATTACACTGCCTTCTTCACAATAATGAAGATCACCACTATTTTTCTTTTTAAAGGCTGCTGAGAAAACAGCATTCTCCAAGGGAAAAAAGAATGACCAGCTGGTTATATTTTTTTCACCCCCATCTGCATCATGCTCTTCCTTTAACGAGCTACAAAAGAGAATCCTGGATGCAAGGAGAGAGCAGCCACACTATCCTGAACTGAGGGAACACTCAGCCGGTCACGTGCACGGTCACAATCTCACAATGGGACTGAAGACAGAGTTTGCACGTGTCCCGATGTAGCAGTCCATCTGTCACAGACTCCTGTTCCCATTCTGACAGTAAACGGCAGAACTGTTAAAATTCAACAGTGGCACAGTTAACGCATCCCAAGGTTTTCAACTACAAATTAAAAGCTCACCATAAGCCTCTGCTGCTTGTCCCGAGCAGAGGTCACCATTTACTGGGTAAGAGTGGTTTTACTAGAGGTCAAAGCTAAGAGCAAAGCCCTTACCTAACACAGAGATGCATTCAACAGCAGTCTGCCAGTCCTTGCTGTTTTTATCAAAGTTGTAAAACAGGCGCCTCATGCAGTCCTTAAGAGCCGCATCCCTCCGCTCCTCGGCGTTAACCAGCGCGGCCAGCATCCTCTCGATCTCCTTGGTCCAGTAACGCTTGTACCCCTTCCGTGTCGACTTCAGCTCATACTCCTCGGGTAAATTACGCGAGATTGCACTTTCGGGTATTTCCATTTGGTATCGGTTCTTGCCTGCCCCCCAATACAGCATGGATTTGAATCCAAGGAGTTTGCGCTGTTTATTTAGGTACTCATTAAGATCTTCCTCTACAGCTTTAATATCCTGTAGTGCTTTATCGTAATCAGGGTCAAAGCCTGACTTTGGAGTGATCACTCCTGTCTTCCGAGCCTGGTTATGATCAAAAGCAGTATCCCACCTTTTAAGTTCTGCATTTAAATCAGGAAAACGGCCCTCTGGATTTTTGGCTTTGCGGGTGACTAGCTGCTTAAGTATTCTAGATTTGAAGTTGCTGGCAGTTTCTTCCATGGCATCTACAATTTTATTCATTACTTTAAACCCTTCCAGTGCAGACAAGAAGTCAGCAATTTTTTTTTTGCTATACTTAACTTCTTCATAAAAGATGGCTCTGCTGTCAGGATGGCTCTGACTTTTAAGTGGCGATCCAATACTGTGAATTTTGCTGAGGAGTCTTTCAAGGTCAGGAAGTTTCTTCAGGTCCTCACTAACTTCAGACATTTTATCAGGCACCGCCAGAAGGTCTTCAACAGCATCTAAACGATCGTTGATGGATTTAGGGTTACAGAGGGGAGTGCAGAGCCACTGCTTCAGGAGCCGCTTTCCAAACGGCGTGCAGCAAGAGTCAATCCTTTCTAGCAAAGTCCCTTCTGTGGTACCGTTAGTTCCGTTCTGTAGGACTTCCAAGTTCATCAGGGTGACTCCATCCAGCACCATCCGCTGGTCAGTTTTGGCAAAAACACTACTTGAAGTGGTAGTCTTTGCGATATCCATATCCACAGGGACATATTCCTCAAAGTTCCCCAACGATAACAGCTCCTGATCAATTAAGCATTTTTTGAGATAGAAGATACACCCTCCCAGAGCTGACAGAGCTAGTTCACTGTTTTCACCAGGAGTTAACCCCAGCGAATCACTCTCGGAAGTCATAGATTTGATAACAGACGGCAGAGAACATCCGTTATCAGAGTTCTGTTTCTCCTTGAAATATTCTTCTTCAAGGAGAACCTTTAGTGTTTTAGATGCATTCCAGAACTGGGACCCAGAAATCAACCCTTCCTGAATGCAAGAAACAAGTGAGCCTTTCAGGATCTTCTGTGTGTCCACAGAAAGGTTGCCCTTCTCAAAGAGCACCTGCACAGGAGTGTAGTGAGCGACCAAAGTTCGGAACCTTGAGCAGTGCCGGTCATCGGAGAACTGCCCGATGTAGAACTTCCCTACTGAGGTGTCAACAAAACAAGCTCCAAAGACACGATGTCCGGAGGAGTCTTCTTTTTCTTTGATGCTCAGAAGGTATTTGTTATGGTTCTCAGATGGGTCAGAGTCCAGAACACTGTAAGTCTGAGTTCCTTTAGTAATGATTCGACAGATCTCTCTGCGTATCACCCTGTCGAATTTTGTTGGGTGAGACATGGATTTACAGCGCACTTCCATCATCTCGGGGGTTTCTGTTTGCTCCACACGGGCTACCTTGTAGCTCTTCTGTACGAGAACATCTGAAAACCTGCCAAATGCAGTTTCTGGGAAACCTGAATGGGCCCAAGTGCCTTTCATGAATATCAGGCCCAACTCATTTACACCCGTGACCGCATCCATATGATACAACTCATAGAATTTTCCAACCTTGTAGCAAATTACAGCATCAAAGTTTTGGCTTTTCAGCTGCCACCACCTCCGCATTCCTGGGGTACACTTGTTAAGATAGTCCTCAGGTACATACAGACTGCAAGGGTCATAGTCAGGATCACCCTGTCGCCTCCTGTGCGCATCCTTCCTTTTCCCTTCCTGCAGCCAGTCCAGCTTTTCATGCTCCCACACTGCAAAGCCACCATTTCCTCCACTGCAAGCATTTGCCTGAGATTCAAAGTTTTCAGGTGCTGCAAAAGAAGTTAGCTTGGACTTAGCTTCTGAAGAGACCACTGCTGCTATTTTGGGTGTTTCAGAACGGTCATTTCCCAAGCTGGTCCTTTTAGCAGGCTTGCCTGCGTCTCTCCTCTTTCGTTTGGAAGAGACTTTAATGGGACTTTCTGCAATGCTCTCTGTGTCCATCTCTGTGTCAGTAGACTCATTTTCATCCACCCCACTACTAACTTCTTCACTGCTTGCTGCTTCTTTCACATCGGGCTTGAACTCAACATCAGAATCATCATGATCACTGTCAGAATCCAGCAGCCTCCTCCTTTTGGCTTTCACGGTACCTCTCCCACTATACGCTGCTCGCTTATTGGTCTTCACATCCTCCTCGCTGTTGCAGCCATCACTGTTGCCTGAAACACTTTCACTCATCTGCTGGAAAATAAATTACTTGACATATTAGAAATTCTGGCTACAAGATAAAAGTAAAATATCACACTTGCAAAAAGAAGTCTGAAAATCCTGTATAATGCAGTAACTATTATACTTAAAAGCATGAGACAGAAGAATCACAGCCAAATTGATTTGTCTTTAGATTTTTTTTTTCCCTGAACAGTCAACTGCTACTTCCCAGTGGTATAATTGCTCTTTGTATTCATTACTACATCATTCCTAACTTGCATAAATGATGCTGAGGAAGAAAACATTCAAGGTATACAGTGTATGAAATTCAGCACAAAGGAGAAGTGTTTCCACAAGCCAGCTCCATATTATAAACAGTATTATAAATTGGGCTACTGGTGAAGAGAAATAATAACACTTTTCTGAATAATGCACTGTTTCTGAAAATGACAGTAAGAATGAAAAAAGAATTACCTCCATTTCCTCCTCCTCCTCCTCTGTATCTGAAGGTTCGTTGCAGACTGCAAGCTCAAGCCGCTTAGTTTTATCTTTACTCATTGCATCATCTGCCAGCACCATTGCTCTTTTAATTTCAGGCTTTGAGCTGTAAAACATACCTCCCTTCAGGGCCTCCTTATCTGATGAACCTGTAAAGTCACAAATAATTCATTAGAAACTGAAGTTAGCCTAGCATTCAGCCAGCCAGTATTCATACTTTCTCTAAAATAATAGCAGTCTCTTTAGACTATTGGAGGCCTTGGCCTCCAAGCAACAGCTGCTCACCAGTCATGCCATCGATTTATTCTGGTGCAGCAGGGGATGGAGCAAGGCCTACAAGTGACAACACTACTGTTTCCTATTCCTCTCCAACAGCCCTTCCATGTCACAGATTCCCCTTCTGCTGCTTGTAAAAACAGAGGAACCTGCAGACTAGAAAGGAGTCCCAAGAAGCTGGCATTCATCTTAATTATGAGCTTGAAAAGTATTATCCAACAGCAGTAGATTTATAAAATATGGGAAAACAGATTATAATTATTGCTAAAGTGAAAACATCATACAAAATGTTGGCTTGAGTTTTGGATTCTGAAAAACTGCAATTCCCAAATACCTACTTAAGAAACTGGGCTTGACATTCTTAACATTTTTCAGAATTTCCAGGCTAAAGCCTGAGATACTGGATTATTGCTTTAAATCTTTAAATACGTGGGAGAGAAAAAGAAAAAAAAAGAAAAAAAGCAAGCTTTAACTGTGCATTCTAACCTCACAGAAAACAGAGGGTTTAGTGCTTTATGTCCAAAGACTCTGTAGCCATGAGCACACCTGTAACCTGAACCCCTGTAACTTGTATTCTCCAAATTACAGAGTACAATATATGCCTTCTAGCTCAGCACTAACCCTGGTTTTGCTCCTCCTTTATGAAGGATACTCCATGGCAGCTTCCAAAAGAAGTGGCATATTTTCCTTCCTAAATGTTTTACTTAGTTCCCTTACCTGTATATGGCTTCAGGTACTTAACACTGACCCAGCCCCTCGTGGGGCTGTCATCAAAGAACTGCACGTGGACACGCGCAGATTTCCCCTTCCCCCGGACGATGGTGCTCTCGCTCGGGTGGTTGTACACGAGGCACGGCCACCACGGGTAACCCTCCATCTTGGCCCACACCAGGTCACCGGGCGAAAAGTCACAGGAGACGCTGCGGACACAGCACGCACAACGTTGCAATATTTAAGTAACGTTTTAACGAACCTCAGCCTACCGCACTCCTCATAAGTCTCGGTGCGCACTTCTGAAGAGCGCCCGAGCAGCCGGTAATAACGGTCGCACCTCCCCATCCCCC